TTCTTTCTCGTTAAAAAAAAAAAAAAGTAGGTCAGTCTGGTTTGACTCTCAGTGCTTCTTATCCTGTTGGTGATGTTACTGCTGCATTATGTTCTGTGGAGATCATGGGTCATAGCAAGATTCAATGGAAGGCAGAGCTTAGAGGACCAACCAGTGAGGAGGAGAGCTTAATAGCAGCAATGTTATGAAGCTTGAGGAAGGCTAGAGCTATGCAGTTAGTCGATTTTACCTGCTTCATCCCAGCTGCAGAAATTGTGGAAGTGATAGATAAGAGGCTCCTCCCTACTGAGTTGAATATTAGAGATCTTGCTGAGATATATGAACTCCTTAATGTTTGTAATGCTAGTGTCAATTGTTTTTTCTAGTTTATGGCTTTTTGCTTTGGGCATGTGCCTTTAAGGGTTGGTTTTTCTCCAGTCCCGTGCTAAGCGGGCTATTGGCTTAGTCCATGATGGTTGTAATCATTTGATTAACGATGTACTCTTTATTTGAGTGGTATAATAGTGATTGTTTGCTGTTTGAGAAAAAAAAAAATAATAATAACCAACAATATTCATTCACATCACATTAATTTTAGTTCACTCTTCATCCAGTCACACAATAAAAAAACTCGTTTTGAACGAATATATTTGAATCCAATCACGCCCCAAGTTTTGTCAATTCATCACTTGAAATAGTATAATATGATATATCATTAGTCATTACAACAGGAAGAAACTCGGAGAAAACATATTCTTTTTCAATATTCTCCATACACTTTGTTTATGGAATAAATACATATATGCAGTCTACCACACCGAATAATATGGGCTTCTTTTCATCTTCGCATTATTGTCCCAAGATATCGGATATCGACTTTGTGATCGCCTGTGAAAGTTCTTGCCTGTACAAGAGAAGAAAATTTTGAATAGATCATATCTGTATGGTGGACAATGTGGACTCACAAATTAAACATCAACAAATTCAAAATCTACTTCCATCAAAATCTACTTACAAGTAGCTGAAAATTAGAAAATGGGAGCATCCACCAAAGAAAACCAACTATGCATTAAGTTAGCTTCCGCGCTTGGTTTGTATGTAAAAATAAAAAATAAGCCAAATGATAATTTAAACCACTTTTTCCACATTCAAATTATAATAAAATGTAAATCACCCTTTTTTTCGTGGAAATATAGGTGTGGCGATAAGTAATTTATAAAACAAAAGGGCAATATGACAATCCACGGTCAATGAACTTAAAGGTGTGCACGGTTCATTTAAAATGTCAGGCAAATGCGTGTATGCATAGCTAGTGGTTGATTGATTTCATTATCAGTGATTTGCAATGAAGAACTTTCTTACCTATCCGGCTTGAATAAGAGATACCGATATGTGAACCACTGGAAAAGAAAAAACGAAGAAATAAAAAGATTCCATGTCAGCTTGCAACCAAATAGAAGCACGTTTCAAAAAAGTGGGAACACAATCAGGTAATGGTGATATAACTGTTAAATAACTCTGTTCTTTCCCACACAAAATGAGTTGCAATTTTGAACTTACCGAAGAAAATAGTATTCCAACAAGCTCAAGCACGCTTGGAACAATAGGAAGTTTGTCGATGGTCTGTATCAAGAATTATCAGCACAAAAACTTAACAGAAAAGCATAGATGTGAACAATATTTCACAAAATTGCTTCGTGTTTAAGTTTCTGTTCCAAAAACTGAATCATACTCACACGAAAGACAGAAATGATTTATTTACCGTCACAAGATTTATTGATGCCCAGAAAGCTACCACACCTGCAAATCCTAAACCAATCAGCGCCACCCGATCCTCAGACTTGTCCCACTATGCCGAAGAGTGTTTTCAAACAGGAGGAGAATAAAGAAAAAACGTAAAGGATAAAGGATAAGCATAATGAGAGCAAGAAACAAGAAAGGAAGCAGTAGAGGATTATGACTTACAACATTCTGTACAGACTTTACAATTGAAAAAGTATCTGAGCTTTCACCGGTGGCTTTTGCTACTACCCTTACACGATCTTGTCTCTCTATAAGATAATACAACACTACATTAATAGATCAATACATATAACTACATATTAAATAGGGCGAACGATTGCAGTTATGCCTATAAATCAGTTCAATTACCAAAAAATACATCTGTCCTCTTGAGCTTTGATAGTTTCAAACAGTACTTTCTCCCAACACGACGCAATATAGGAAATCGAAACATAGTTCAGGAATTTTTATACTGAAAGAGAACTGAGATTCCCTGTATTCAGGCCACAATTTGTAATTTTTCGGGATGACTTTTAAGCAATTAAGTGACAGTCTGACAGAACCACACCCATACTCAAATAAACTACAAAATCTACTCTCAACAGAAAATTAGCTCTTCTCAAGTCAGATTACAGATTTGGGATCCTTAATCTAAAGCAGCCATTAAAATCAACTTGTGCCTTTTTTAATACAATTACACAACTGATGCACTGTAATGGAGGTTCTTTTAAACTACCTAGCCAAGCAGAACCTAATTAGCTGGGATGACATTAAAAGTGCGCCCACATACCGATCGAAATTAAGCATATTATAGCTCATTCAGTGCTATACTTAAATATGCAAAGTTCGCTCTCCTTCACCAGAAAAATTACTACAAGCACACACTTTACAGCATCAAAAACTCGATGATTTACACTGAAAATGTAATAGACAAGACGTACTGTACTACCTTT